TATTGTTCCTTCCAGGAAGTCAAGCATGTTCTGTTTGCCAGTTTGTTTGCCTGCTTGCTCTTGAGTTACTCGGCACATCCTATCTCTCAGGAACACAGGGGACACGCCTATTCTTTTCTGTAGAAATCTCCAGGCCAGAAACTTTATCTCTGGTGGCTTTTAAATGCTAAGATGCTACACAAAACATTACACTGACATTCTGATAGCCAAGACTGCACCTATACTGTGGTGAAAATTCACTGCCTTACTCACCTAAAATATTATACTGAAGATCTCAAAAATACTACCAGGACTTCAGGAACAAGAACAGGTCTCAGTTCAATTTGTGACACATGAGGGGGAACCCCAAGCCCAAATGGGGAAAAACAGGAGAGTATTTCAGGGACCTTTGCAACTTAGCTACTGCCCTCAACTGAACCACAGCTGGTTTGTTGATGGAAAGAAAGAATAACAAAACCTAGGCCTGAAGTGTTAAAAGGTCAGAGCAATTAAGAATGGATAAGAAATACACTTGGCCCTTACAGTGCAATGATATCGTGGGTGTGAACTCAATTTACCACCCCAAAGACTTAGCATAGGGCTACTCCCCTTTGATCTACAAAGGAAATGCTTTACACCGTAAGAATAGCTGATCTTTTTACACTGCTTATGGCTTCAGTTCAAGGGGTCTTCAGTAACCTCTGTAAGCCCTAAATTTCCTCATTGGCCTTATAAAACCACCATAAATGGTGCTTGGCATGCTGTATATGTAAACTTTCTTAGTATTACTTTTTAAATGAAAAGCCATGGTAGAAGGCTCTTTGCAAAAAGCCAGGCGAGGTTGCAGGACACTGCAATATTTGCTTATTCAAAAGCGGGTTCAGGGACGAAAGCTCTCTCTTCTCTCTGCCAGGTTCTGCAGGATCTAACATAGAGTTCCTTTGGATACAGGTCTTTTGGTCCTTGCAAGTCATGAAGCTTCTTAGACTCAAGAAGTCCAGGTGTGTTTGAATGAAGACTGGATGTTTGTGTCCAGTCCACCGAGCCACTAAATCAGAGTTCAGGGAGACAGGGCTTTTGCTTTCTTCCTCCTTCCTTCCATGGGATGGAGGGAGTCTCTAAAAGGCAGGATTCCAGCAGGAACAGGCCTGGATCAGAGAGACCTAGGTCTGAATCATAGCTGGGTGACCCTGTACATGTCTACTTCTCCAGTGTTGGTTTCCTCTTTGCTCCATGTAAAGTAAAATCCACACACAAATAATGGTCGTTTGGTTTAGATTATGGAAGCAGTGTATGTTCAAGAACTTATTCTTCCAAATATGCCTGGCAGATGGAAGATGCTCAACGTTCGCTGAACCCAAAAAGATTAGCAGAGCTACTTGCAGTGTTAGCCTTCCCAGTTACACCCCCAGTCCCATGCAGCACCCAACTTTAAGCTCATATAAAAAGACTTGAGCAGACTCAGTGCTTTCAACCAATGACAAAAGAAGCCAGCAGAGTCCTAACTAACAAGCCATTTGAATGGAATTCTCCTGAAGATGACAGGCACTCAGGCAACAAACTCTGGCTGGCTTCCCTGACTTCCTTCCAGGTGTGTATCTGGGTGGGGGTGGGGAGGGGGTGGATACAGACTGTACCCCTAGCCCTGGTCTCGGTCCTCCACAAGACTGGCTTCTCTAGAACGAGTCCTCCTTGGAAACCAGCAAGTGTCAGACCTGAGCTCCCACTGTTCCGAACCCCCAGGCGCTCCCTAGCTCTTTCTAGAGGCAGGACAGCAGCTCTGCCTTCATAGTCGCAGGGCTCCAGGGCTCACATTCCTGGACGTGGCGCTCAGTGGCATCAGCAATGGCCTGTGCTCTGCTGCTCTGGCGGCAGCAGCTGGCCCGTTCTCGCTTCACCCTGGCAGGGCTTGCTGGGCGCGTGCAGCCCCAAGCAGTCCCAGACGCCGTCTCCTAAGAGGGCGCCCCCGCCACTCTCGCCTCCCAATCTCAGCAGAGTGTCCCCAGGGTCTGGCAAGGGCCTCCTCTTCCTCCGGCCACAGCCCCGGGGAAGCGACTGGGGGTGGGGCGAGACACTTTCTGAGACCAGCTAACGCCGCCCTCTCCATCCCAGTTCTTGCAAGAAAGAGATAGAGGAAGCCAAGACCATTTCGCCCGCAGGTACCTCCAAATCTGTGGCGCTAACAATCATCCCCATCCACCATTTAATTCATTGTCCCCCAGCTGGGCAGCTCTGCGGAAAGCCCTTGAGAGGTACCCACTAAAAAAACCCGCGCCCCGCTGCCCGCCCGACTCTTGCCCCGCGCCACCTCCCGGCTCCGCACATCCCTCTCCAGGAAGGCTCGCCGTTTTTCCAGAGCAGAATCCGGTCAGCGGGTCTTGGAGGTTGTTTCCCACCTCCCCATCCGACCCCCTCTGCGGGAGCCCACAAGGAGATCCCGCGCAAGAGGCCAAGAAGCCGGGAGGGCTGCCCCCAAATCTGTGCTCACCCCGGGCCCGGCTCCCTTTCCCTCCCTCCATCTCCGTCCTTTCTTCCAGCTCCAGTCCCTGCGCCTCCTGCGCCTCCAGCGCCCAGCATCTCTTCGGCTCAAACAGAGGAAACTTCTTTCTGGGCTAAATTCAGGTCCCAGTAGGAAAAGCTTCATCTTCCCCGCCTCCCTCTAACTCCGGCTCCAGAAACCGCAAGGAGCCGGCACCAGGGGCGTGCTTACCCCCAACTCGCCCCCCCTCCCCAAAAAGAGCTCGGGCTACTAGTGCTCCCCGACTTTGCAGGTTCACAGGTCCGGTCGGGTCAGAGACCACCACGGGGGCTGTATGCACATTCATGATCTTTCCAGAGACCCTGTCCGTCCCTCGTGGCTTGCAAGAAACTAGTAAACAAAACGCAAACCCCCAGCAACTTTGGGGAGTGCGGGTATATAAGTGTGTGAGAGAACGAGGGTGGGAGAGAGAGAGCGCATCGCTCAAGAGTTAGAACAGCTGCAAGAGCACATCTGGAAGAGGGGGAAGGGGGACGGAGAGGAGGGGACGAGAAGCGTGCCGCTGAAGGGGAATCCCCCCTTCCCCGGGCCGCTTCAGGGCCCAGGGCCGGGCCGGCCGGTCGTTACCTGTCCTACGTTGATGAAGCCGTACTTGCTGGCAATGCGGTTGGCCTCCGGGAATCCGCCGGCGATTTTGACTGCCCAGTGGTTGGTGTAGACGCGCGTCCGGCACACGGGGAG